GAGCATAATTATGAATTGATAAACTCTTACGTTCATGATCTCTATTGTAAATTTTGTCATGTGTAAGGTTCCTCCTCTGCATCCTGCTTATTCATTTACATCATGATACAACTCCTGTTTAAAAGAAGTAGAGACTTGAGACACAACAAACATAAAAAAAGGCCACAACCACAGGCAGAAGAACATGGGTGTGTGTTTTTGTGCGTGTGGAACAGGCTGTTCCTTAGCTTCAACAACTGAACAAAAATATTGGTGAGTTGATGAGGAAACATAGAGAGAGGTCAAACTTATGTTCTGATAAAGGACGGGTAACAAAACAACAATAAAAGACCTGGATGATTATTGCAGGATGCTTTTTTTTATGATGTAAAGAGAGAATTTACTGTCAGTGTTCCAATACATTTTGACTCAGTTGTTAGTTGAAAACTCATAATACATAACAGATAAATAAAAGAAAATGTCAGTGAGGCTGATAGTTTTTTTTAAAGAGGAATCAGGCTCATAAATGYTAATTTTCTTTGGAACAGACACACAGAGCCCAACATGAAAGCCTGGGTTTACAGAGCTCATAACATAGTTTCATTTCTCTGTAGCTTCAGGGTTTGTTGACTTACGTTGTTTCCAGTCTACAATTCAACATGCAGATATGATTTATGCAAGCCTGTAGGTCTGTATCTATACAGACAGCTGTAATTTCTGTAATAAATGTAGAATAAATGTTTGATACACAACTTTTAAAACATTTGGTTTAGAAAACAGTTTTAATTTCTAGTCACCCCCACAGCAAACAAACAAACAAACAAACAAAGAAATAAATAACTTTAAAAGAATTCCAAAGAATGAGTTAGGGATTTTTGATCAGAGCTATACGTTTTCCTGTACCTGCGGGTGTTGGCCTTAAACTAGCACTCTTTACTTTTCCCAGAGAAATGACATGTTTTATTTGTTTCATCTGCTTGTTTAAATGTTTATTTGCTAGTAATTGACAGATTTGAATAAAAATATAATAAATTGAAAACAGCCAGCCTACAAAACCTCACCCTTTTTGGTTTAAACATATTTTTTCAAACCAGACAAACAACTATTCATTTAAAATTTACACTTAGGGACAATTTAGAGTTAACTATTAACCGAACATTTATGGTTTTGGTTTGTGGGAGGAAGCCAGAGAAAACCCATGCATGCACAGRRAGAACATGCAAACTACCCAGAAAGATCCCCGCACCGGGATTTAATCCGACAACCTTCTTGCTGARAGGCTCTACAACTACCATCTGAGCCACTATGGTCCATTGGCATGATTTAAAAACTGCTGTATAGTTTGAAGTTTGACACAATTTGTAACAGAGTCTAGTTCTGCACAAGCGGAGGTGCTGTATTGACAATTTGTAACAGTTTATTGACTGTATTTAAGATTTGTAGGTATTTACTGAGCTAAG